TTTTTTTTTTTTTTTTTTTTTTTTTTTGAGACGGAGTTTCGCTCTTGTTACCCAGGCTGGAGTGCAATGGCGCGATCTCGGCTCACCGCAACCTCCGCCTCCTGGGTTCAGGCAATTCTCCTGCCTCAGCCTCCTGAGTAGCTGGGATTACAGGCACACGCCACCATGCCCAGCTGAATTTTTGTATTTTTTTTTTAGTAGAGACGGGGTTTCACCATGTTGACCAGGATGGTCTCGATCTCTTGACCTCGTGATCCACCCGTCTCGGCCTCCCAAAGTGCTGGGATTACAAGCGTGAGCCACCGTGCCCGGCCTTGTCAAACATTTTTTTAAAAATTTCTATATTTTCAAAATGCTAAGCCTAGCATTTAGCCAGGTATGCTGGTGAACACCTATAGTCCCAGCTACTCGGGAGTCTGACACAGGAGAATCGCTTGACCCTGGAAGGCAGAGGTTGCAGTGAGCTGAGGCTGCACCATTGCACTCTACCCTGAGTGAGAGTGAGAATCCATCTCAAAAAAATAAAAAATAATAAAAAATTAAAAATCAACTTTCTGGCTTGGTGTGGTGGCTGTAATCCCAGAGCTTTGGGAGGCCAAGGAGGGAGGACCACTTGAATCCAGGAGTTTGAGAGCAGCCTGGGCAATATGGCAAGACCTCGTCTCTACAGAAATAAAAATAAAAATTGCTAACCATGTTAGGGCACACTTGGCTATTTTTATTTTGGGAAGCTGGGGCAGGAAGACAGCTTGGGCCCAGGAGGTCAAGACTGTCATAAGCTATGACTATGCCACTGCACTCCAGTTTGGGCAACAGAGCAAGACATTACCTCTAAAAACAAAATAAATAAATAAAAATAAATCAACTTCTTAAATTTAGTAACATTTGAAGTAATATCTGTGAAATCAGTTCTGATGTCCTGGTTATTATTTTCCTGCCTCGCATTAAAATAAACACACACTTATTAAAATATCTTTAGATCCCACTGGTGACTAAGTTTTAGATCACAAAGAGAACAGTCCTGTCTCTGCAGTGACTCTGGGATTTCTGTAGAATAAGCAATAATGTAGACATTAAGACAAGTTTTTTTTTTTTTAGCCCAGCAGGAAACTTTAAAGTATTGAGTCCATTCCTCTAATGGTATACATTAAAAAGCTGAGACCTGGCCACGCACAGTGGCTCACACCTGTAATCCCAGCACTTTGAGAGGCCGAGGAAGGTGGATCACGAGGTCAGGAGTTCAAGACCAGGCTGGTCAACATAGTGAAACCCCATCTCTACTAAAAAATACAAAAATTAGCTGGGGATGGTGGCTCATATATATAATCCCAGCTACTTGGGAGGCTGAGGTAGGAGAATTGCTTGAACCGGGACCTGGGAGGCGGAGGTTGCAGTGAGCTGAGATCATGCTACTGCACTCCAGCCTGGGCTACAGAGCAAGACTCCAACTCAAAAAAAAAAAAAAAAAAAAAAGCTGAGACTCAGAGAGGTTAAGTGATTTGTCGAAGGTTGCATGGGAAGTTTAATCAAATGTCTAAGATTAGCATTCAGGAGGACTTTCTATTCTATTGTGTCCCTTGGAATCACACAAGAATAATACAGTAATTTTTCATCTGTTACCTACCTCACTCTTCCATTCAGATTTATCTGAACATGCTGCTTAAAATCTGGATATTTGGATGCCAGATATGCAAAGTCAGGAGGTTTGTCCTTGTATCTATTTCTTGCATGCATTGATTTGCTCAGAGCCATCTTAAGGAGAGAAAGAAACAGAGAAAAATCAGCATATTTATTAAAAATCATTAATGAGGGCCAGGCACAGTGGCTCACACCTCTAATCCCAGAACCTTGAGAGGCCAAGGCAAGTGGACTCTACCTGAGGTCAGGAGTTCGAGACCAACCTGGCCAATATGGTGAAACCCTGTCTCTACTAAAAATGCAAAAATTAGCCAAGCGTGGTGGTGGGAGCCTGTAATCCCAGCTACTCAGGAGGCTGAAGCAGGAGAATTGCTTGAACCTGAAAGGCAGAGGTTGCAGTGAGCCAAGATCTTGCCACTGCACTCCAGCCTGGGCAATAAGAGTGAAACTCCGTCTCAAAAAAAAAAAATTTTAATGGGGAAAGCTGTGGATGCCAAGTTAATAGTTACAGCCAACATGTATTTGCTGATCAAGCGAGAAACTAGAAATTACATTTTAAAAATGTATACAACAAGTAAGCACATGAAGAGATTCTCAGCATCATTAGTCATCAGGGAAATACAAATCAAACCACCTGAGATACCACTGCATACCCACTAGGATGGCTATCATCAACAAAAAACAAAAATAAAAGATAACAGAAACAACAAGCATTCTGCAAGGATGTGAAGAAGCTGGAGTTCTCGTGCACTGCTGGTGGGAATGTGAAATGGCACAGCTGCTGTAGAAAAAAAGCTTGGCGGTTCTTTAAAAAGCTAAACATAGAATTACTATCTGATTTACCAGTTCCACTCCTAGGTATATTCCCAAAAGAATTGAAAGGAGGAATTATACGAGGTATTTGTACATCAATGTTCAAAGTAGTGCCATTCACAAGTGTGAAAAGGTGGGAACAACCCAAGTGTTCATCAGCAGATGAAGATGGATAAATGAAATATGGTATATACATACAATAAATATTACGCAGCCATGAAAAGGAATGAAACTCTCACACATGCTACAACATGGAAGAACCTTGAAAACATGATGTTAAGGGAAATAAACCACGCACAAAAGGACAAATATTGTATGCTCCCACTTATATGAGGCACCTCAAAGAGGTAAATTTATTACACAGAGAGAGGTAATAAGGGGTTGGGGGAGGGAAAATGAGGAGTTACTGTTTAATAGGTACAGAGTTTCACTTCGGGATGATGACAAAGTTCTGGAGATAGAGGTGATGGTTATGGTTGCACAAGAGAATTAATATATATATATATATGTGTGTGTTCTTTTTTTTTTTTTTTTTTTTTTTTTGAGATGGAGTCTCGCTCTGTAGCACAGGCTGGAGTAGAGTGGTGAAATCTTGGTTCACTGCAACCTCCGCCTCCTGGGTCCCAGTTCAAGCAATTCTCCTACCTCAGCCTCCCAAGTAGCTGGGATTATATGCACGAGCCACCATCCCCAGCTAATTTTTGTATTTTTTAGTAGAGATGGGGTTTCACCGTGTTGGCCAGTCTGGTTTTGAACTCCTGACCTCATGATCCACCCGACTTGGCCTCCCAAAGTGCTGGGATTACAGGCATGAGCAATCAAGCCCAGCAGAGAATGAATATACTTAATGTCAGTGAATGGTACACTTAAAATAGCTAAAATGGACCAGCGTGGTGGCTCTTGCCTATAACCCCAGTACTTTGGGAGGCAGAGAGCTCCAGATCGGCCTGATCAACATGGAAAAACCCCATCTCTACTAAAAATACAAAATTAGCCGGGCATGGTGGCACATGCCTGTAATCCCAGCTACTCAGGAGGCTGAGGCAGGATTACTTGAACTTGGGCGGTAGATGTTACAGAGTGCCAAGACCACACCATTGTACTCCAGCCTGAGAACAAGAACGAAACTCTGCCTCAAAACAAAAAAAAAAAAATGACTAAAATGGTAAATTTTATGTTATGTATATTTTACCACAATTTTTAAAATGTAGACAACATAAGGGTGAATCTTTTTTTTTTTAAATCAAGAGAAGAAAACTGAAAAATATTCCTTTAAGAGAATCAAAGTGACAGAAGACAGTATGATTTACAGCCAAGAATATTAGTTAGAAGTTAGTTTTGTTTTGTCTGTCTTGGGACAGGGTCTCACTCTGTCATCCAGGGTGTAGGGCAATGGCACAATTATAACTCACTGCAGCCTCCATCTCCCGCGCTCAAGCAATCCTTCCACCTCAGCCTCCTGAGTAGCTGGGACTATAGGTACATGCCACCATGCCACCACACCTGGCTAATTTATTTTTAATTTTATTTTTTGTATAGACAAGTGTCTCCCTTTGTTGCCCAGATTGGTCTCCAACTCCTGAGCTCAAGTGATCCTCCTGCCTCAGCCTCCCAAAGGGCAACGACTACAGACATGAGCCACCACACCCAGCCTGGAGGTTAGTTTTTATAGTGGCCTTACAAAGACTGAATATTCAGGAGTGCACCATAACATCACTAAAGTTTGAAAAAATATCTTTGATTCCAACTTAAATTTTCAATCTTGTCATTCCTAGGTAGCTAAAACCAAATAAAAACAAACATAATTTTATCTTCTTCCAAATTACAACAAGAAATAAAAGTGAATGTATTTATATCAAGAAATAAAAACTGAAAGAGAAACTATTATAGTGGTTTAGTAAATCTCCAGGTAGTTGGTAATTTTAAAAAATATTTTACGATGCCATGCGCAGTGGCTCACGCCTGTAATCCCAGCACTTTGAGAGGCTAAGGCAGGTGGATCACAAGGTCAGGAGTTCGAGACCAGCCTGGCCAACATGGTGAAACCCCGTCTCTACTAAAAATACAAAAATTAGCTGGGCATGGTGGCGGGCGCCTGTAGTCCCAGCTACTCAGGTTGCTGAGGCAGAAGAATTGCTTGATCCTTGGAGGCAGAGGTTGCAATGAGCTGAGATCAAGCCATTGCACTCCAGCCTGGGCAACAAGAGAGAAACTCTGTCTCAAAAAAAAAAAAAAAAAAAAAAAAATTTACTATTATATATATCTCTGGGTAGGAAGTGACTTTTATTAATATCTTTCTGTATTTTCCACTTTTAAATAATGATAATTCTTCTAAACAGTATTATGTAAGCCAAAAACCTAGGAGTCACCTGATAGTTTCTCATATCCAAGAAATCACCACTCCTGTAGGTTTTACCTGCCAAATACCTCTTAATCCATCTATCTTCAACAATGCCAAGGACAGAGGCCTCTTTTTTTTTTTTTTTTTAAGATGCATGGTTTCACTACGTTATGTATATTTTGAGGTTGGTCTTGAACTCCTGGCCTCAAGCAACTCTGCCACTTCGGCCTCCCAAAGTGCTAGGATTATAGCCATAAGCCACCACACCCGGCCAGAACAGCCTTTTTATTTATTTATTTTTATTTTATTTTAGAGACTACATTGCCCAGGCTGGACTTGAATTCCTGGGCTCAAGTAATCCTCCTACGTTGGCCTCCCAAATAGCGGAGACTACAGGTGTGCACCACTGCACCTGGCTTACAGTAGCCTCTTAACTGATCTCCCTGCATCCACTCTTGTTCTTGCCATCCTTCCTTCCACCTCGCAGTGATCATTGCTAAACTCAAATCTCAGTATGTTCTTCTACTATGTCCACCTGCCCAAAACCTTACTCTTAAGATAAAATAAAAAAGATCACTTCAGCATACATATTAGGCCCCACATGACCTGGCTTTTCCTGTGTTTTCACTATCAGTTTAAGCACACGCCCTTGCTCTTTCTGCTCTTGCACCCTGACTGCACGGCCTTCATGCAGGCTATTCTTTTTATCTGTATGTTCTCTCCTCCCTCTCTGCGGTTGAAATTCTTAGTCGTCCTGAGGCTCACAGTTCAAGCACCTCATCTTCAGGAAGATCTTTCCTTCCCTCATCTCCCCAGTTAAGACAATCCTCTATTACAACATCTCCTAGCAATAAACGTCTTTCCTTTGCAAGCTTTGTTAGAGATAGAACTTTACATAGTAATAAATCTGTCAACGCTATTTCAGATGGTTTTTTGACAGCTTCCTACACTGGAAATTAAACCAATTTCAAAAAAGAAGTGTTGTCTTCAATCCAGACTTTTCCAAATCACATATCCAACTGCCTACCATATTTTTCACTTGAAAGGCTCAAAAATACATGCACAACATGTGCAAAATCAAATCACTTCTACCCACCCCAAACTGGTCCTTGTCAACTTCCCTATCTCACCGAATGCACCACTATCTCTCTTGTGATACACACATCAAAAATCTCCAACACCTTCACCACGCTGCCTCCACCATTCACAACACCCCATGTCCTGAATACTCTCTATCTCCCAATTATTTCTTGACCCATTCTACTTTTCACCCTTCACAGCACCACCTCTCTGGCCCAGATCATTACCATCTCTTTGTTGGGTTGTTCTAAGAGTTTCAAGCTGATCTCTTTATAACCACTCTTGCCTTCTACAAGCCATTTTTCACTCAGCAGACAAGCCACTCCCCTCATGCAAATGTAAACATTTCCTTACTAAACCCCTTCAGTGGCAGCCCAATTAGGCTAATAACGTCTAAAATCACGAACAAGATGTGCATAATCCAGGCCTTATCTGTCCCTCCAACTTCATTTGTTGCCACTTTCCCTTCCAGACATACTGGTCTTCTTTCTTTTTTTTTTTTTTTGAGATGGAGTTTCATTCTTGTTACCCAGGCTGGAGTGCAATGGCACCATCTCGGCTCACCGCAACCTCCGCCTCCTGGGTTCAGGCAATTCTCCTGCCTCAGCCTCCTGAGTAGCTGGGATTACAGGCACGTGCCACCATGCCCAGCTAATTTTTTGTATTTTTAGTAGAGACGGGGTTTCACTATGTTGACCAGGATGGTCTCAATCTCTTCACCTTGTGATCCACCCGCCTTGGCTTCTTTCTTGTTCTCTGCTGCATGGTAGTCTGTTTCACCACCTGCTATTCTTATTGGCTGCCAGACTCTCCTCACCCTCTCACCAACTTCTTTCATCTCTGAAGGCCCACTAACTGCTCAAATCACACATCAGGCATCACTTTCTCAGCCAGGCTTTCTCTGACCCCACCATCCACTCAGATGCCCATCTACACATGCTTCCAAAGCACCCTGTGCTTCTTCTCCCTCAGAGAGCTTGTTTACGATTGCATCTGTAATTTATTTGCATATGTCACATAAAAACCTGCAACCACAGGCATCCTAATCTTCACTATTCCCCCAGCAACTTGTATACAATAAATATTTGTTGAGTAAACAATTAAGAATTTGAGGGAATTAGTAGTCACCTGCAAGTTTTTCAGCATACTGTTACTAAATTTTGCCCCTCATACTATGACTAAAACTGAGTATATACCTGTTTTAATTTCCTAGCATTGATGTACCCTTTACTGACCATCAGGAGAGCGGGGAGCATAAAACAAGGATGGACCTCAGTCCTGAAGAAAACATAAACTGGGCAAGGTGGTGTATGCCTCTGATCCTAGCTACTAGGGAGGCTGAGGATGGCTTGAGCCCCCAGGAGTTCCAGTCCACTCCAGTCTGGGCAACACAGTGAGACCCTGTCTCAAAATAAACAAATACAAATAACAGACTTTATTAAAAAGAAAACATGAAAAATGAAAGTGTCGGCCGGGTGTAGTGGCTCATGCCTGTAATACCAGCAGTTTGGGAGGCAGAGGCAGGATCATCTGAGATCAGGAGTTCGTGAGACCAGTCTGGCCAACATGGTGAAACCCCATCTCTACTAAAATACAAAATACAAAAATTAGCCAGACGTGGTGGTGGGCACCTATAATCCCAGCTACTCAAGAGGCTGAGGCAGAAGAATCACTTGAACCTGGGAGGCGGAGGTTGCAGTAAGCCAAGATCATACCACTGCACTCCAGCCTGGGTGACAGAATGAAATCCATCTCAAAAAAGAAAAAGAAAATGCCCTTTCTTGTGATTCTGGCAAGGAACAAAAACGAAAACCACACTAAGAGTAATTTCTTTAAGCTGATAGAAAATATTTTACACATTTATGGGGGACACGTGACATTTATGGGGTATTTGTACCTGTAATCCCAGCACTTTGGGAGGCTGAGGTGGGCAGATCACCTGAGGTCAGGAGTTCAAGACCAGCCTGAACAACATAGTGAAACCGCAACTCCACTAAAAATACAAAAAAATTAGCTGGGTGTGGTGGCGGGTGCCTGTATTCTCAGCTACTCAGGAGGCTGAGGCAGGAGAATCACTTGAACCCAGGAGAAGGTTGCAGTGAGCAAAGATCATGCCATTGCACTCCAGCCTGGGTGACAGAGTGAGACTCTGTCTCAAAAAAAAAAAGAATGTGTGATGATCAAGTGATCAGGTCACAGCATGTGGGGTATTCATCACTTTGAGTACTTTTTTTTTCTGGTTCAAGTTCTCTCATGAGGTTGCACACTTTGAGGATTTTTTATATCTATGTGTTGGTAACATTTCAAGCCCTCTCTTCTAGTGACCTTGATATATACATTTTTGCCGACTATAGTCACCATATCCTCACAGTGACTTCAAGAGACAGTGGCATGTTAGGGGTCTGCAACACATTAAGGAAAATTCTAGACCACATAGCTGACATCAGTGAACATACAACATGGTACTGTGAACATATGTGAAACAAATTAAATTACAGATATGGGGCCGGGCGCGGTGGCTCAAGCCTGTAATCCCAGCACTTTGGGAGGCCGAGGCGGGTGGATCACGAGGTCGAGAGATCGAGACCATCCTGGTCAACATGGTGAAACCCCGTCTCTACTAAAAATACAAAAAATTCGCTGGGCATGGTGGTGCGTGCCTGTAATCCCAGCGACTCAGGAGGCTGAGGCAGGAGAATTGCCTGAACCCAGGAGGCGGAGGTTGCGGTGAGCCGAGATCGCGCCATTGCACTCCAGCCTGGGTAACATGAGTGAAACTCCATCTCAAAAAAAAAAAAAAAAAAAATTACAGATATGGCAGATACGATTCATTTCCTATGTTATTCAACTTTTCTTGTCCGAATAGATACAGAATGAGTTAATACAACTACTTCTTTTCTAACTAATCTCCCAGTATAGGCAATGGGCTCTTAGCTAAATTTATCCTATTCTTCAGAGTTTATCTGGGCATCAACTCTTTTTTTTTTTTTCTTGTTCAGACAGGGTCTCATTCTGTTGCCCACAGTGCAGTGGTGCAATCACAGCTCCCTGTAGTCTCCAACTCTTGGGATCAAGCAATCCTCCAGCCTGAGCCTCCCAAGTAGCTGAGACTACAAGCACAGGCCACTGCACCTGGTTAATTTACTTCACTGTTTGTAAAAATGGAGTCTGGCTTTGCAGCCTAGGCTCTAGCTTCAATTTTCGACACAGAATTCACTCATCTGACATTCCATATATTTCACTTACTTTAAAAAAACTCCCGTCAGTAAGCTTCAAGAGGTATAACATTTTGTCTGTCTTGTTCACTGCATATCCCAACGACTAAAATAAGGCCTGAGAGAGTAGGCACTCGGTATTTGTTCACTGAAAGCACGATGGAACTCTTCCCTGTCCACTTCCCAGACCACTGACATAAAGCACCCTCATTGAGTTTAGAAAAAAGCTCTGCCCAAGGACTGGAACTTTTCTTCCTGGTTACCTGAGTCAGTACACAAAGCTAAAGTTAGTAGTAGAACCCTGAGAATGAGGCTTCCACTTTTTTTTTCCCTTTTCATCTCCATTCTCCTGTTTCCTTGGTTCCTCTTGACCATTAACCCTCTTCAACTAGCATTCTCTTAATACGTAGCCTGTAAAATTGTCTAAATGACTGTTTCAGAACTTCGAATTCTCTCTGCACAGATCCCTCCCACCTCAACACCAATCTACACCTCCTCTCTTCGCCTTCTCCCGTAAATCCGACTTTTCCCACTAGTCCTAACACTGCCATTTCTCCGTCTCTTCCACTCTTTCCTCGCCCTCATCCGCTCATTTTGCCTTCCCGCCTCAGTTTTGGATCTCTCTAAACCTCCCAAACCACGGGGAGTCTCTCCTACTTCAATCCTAGTCTCTATTCTATTCGCCAACTCCTCCCACTCACCCACCCTCACCACCACCGCGCGCGCACACATAGCCACATCAGGTCTGCCCTCCTAGTCCCCGAAGTAAGCACCTCACTAGCCCAAAACTCAAGAATGAGGAACCGGGTGATCCATGGGTTAAGTGACCCATTATCGGAAATCTGTGTGAGAGATATAAGGGACCCACCTCTGAGGCCGAGGTTCTTGCCAGACGTGTCTGGCGTGGGCCTGTACAACCCTAGAATCTTAAACCAGCCGCAGCGCGAAGCTCCTAGAAACGCAGAAGTTACGCTTCCAGCGCGGCGCCATCTTGTGAGGCCATCTAGCCTCATGATTGGACAAACCCTTCTCGCGCGACCTGAGACTGAGCCTGAAGAAAGAAGAAACCGCGAGACCTGGAGTTTGCGGCTCCTGACAGAAGGCGGGGGCGTGGTGGCAAGCGGAGTCCTTTGCTGTGTGGCAGGAGGAGGACCTGCCTTCGAATTCGCGGGAAAACGTATTTAAAATAAAAAGAAACAAGTTTTCCGGACCCTGCTGCAGACTTACCTATCACCCTCACTGGGATTGGGTAGGTTATGAAGATGAGGCAAGGAGACTTGGGTATGATGGCGGACAGTGAGCGCTGCTAACAGGTGTCTCCTCGGGCGGTGTCTCACTGAATCGTCAGCGAAGTAAGCCTGTGAGGCGGGGAGGAGTACTCTTATTTACAGAGAAAGAACTGAGGATCAGAGAGGTGTTTTGTTTTTGTTTTTTTTTTTTTTTGAGACGGAGTTTCACTCTTGTTGCCCAGGCTGGAGTGCAATGGCAGATCTCAGCTCGCCGCAACCTCTGCCTCCCGGGTTCAAGTGATTCTCCTGCCTCAGCCTCCTGAGTAGCTAGGATTACAGGCTTGCACCACCACGCCCGGCTAATTTTGTATTTTTAGTAGAGATGGGGTTTCTCCATGTTCGTCAGGCCGGTCTTGAACTCCTGACCTCAGGTAATCCGCCCTCCTCGGCCTTCCAAAGTGCTGGGATTACAGGTGTGAGACACCGCTCCCGGCCTTTTTTTTTTTTTTTTTTTTTTAAGACGGAGTTTTGCTCTTGTTACCCAGGCTGGAGTGCAATGGCACGATCGACTCACTGCAGCCCCCGCCTCCTGGGTTCCAGCAATTCACCTGCCTCAGCCTCCAGAGTAGCTGGGATTACAGGCACCCCTGCCACCTTGCCCAGCTAACTTTTGTATTTTTTGTAGAGATGGGGTTTCATCATGTTGTCCAGGCTGGTCTCGAACTCCTGACCTCAGGTGATCTGCCCGCCTCGTCCTCCCAAAGTGCTGGAATTACAGGCATGAGCTACTGCGCCCTGCCGAATCAGAGATACTAAGTGATTTGTTTAAGATTTTACATTCAGAGGCTGGACGCCTTGGCTCAGTTTTGGATCCTAGTCTCTATTCTATTGGCCTATAATCCCAGCACTTCAGAAGGCCAAGGTAGGCGGATATATTGAGCCCAGGAGTTGGAGACCAGCCTGGACAACATAGTGAAACCCCGTGTCTAAAAAAAAAAATACAAAAATTAGCCAGGTGTGGTGGTGGTGCGCCAGAAGTCCAGCTACATGGGGAGCTGAGGTGAGAGGCTGAAGTGGGAGGATTGCTTGAGCCTAGGAGGTCGAGGCTGCAGTGAGACAGAGCAGCCTGGAAGACAGAGCAAGATGCAATCTCCAAAGAAAAAAAAAATGAAAAAATGACCTCAAGTCCACACTTGCCTCAACCTGGAAGCTCTGTTAATGCATTTCAATTTATTTTCAACTTGTTTATACTCATTTTACCCTCTAGTAAGTGAATATAAATCTCCCCCAGTTTGCAACTGAGACAGAAAGGTTAATGACTTTCAAAAGGCATACCAGTAGTAACAAAGTGAGGGCTAGAGGCAGCCTCTGGACCTAGTACCTCTTTCCATTAAAAAAAAAAAAAAAAAAAAAAAAGGCCTGCCCATGTCCTTGGAATTAAAGTGAACACTTCTGGCAAACTATTGCCATAAAATTGGGAGATGGTAGGGATTAAAGGATGGAGAGTACAGCTTTATGCAGAAGTGAGTGTCCCAGTAGTCACCCAGGGAGAGCTGAGGAGGTGTTTTCATAATTTGTTGTGTAACAGACCACCCCAACACGTAAGAGTTAAAACAACAACCGGGCGGGCCAGGTGCCATGGCTCACGCCTGTAATCCAAGCACTTTGGAGGCCAAGGCGGGTGGATCACCTGAGGTCGGGAGTTCAAGGCCAGCCTGACCAATATGGTGAAACCCCGTCTTTAAAAATACATATATTAAAAAAGAAAAAAAAAAACAACCACCATTTTATTTGCTCAGCGTTCTGCAGTCTGGGCTGTGATTAGCCCAGCTGTTCTGCAGGTCTTCCCGGTGGTCACAGGATCAAGTTGGGGCTGGTTCCGCTGAAAGAACTGGGCCTCTCGGCCGGACACGGTGGCTCAGGTCTGTGATCCCAGCACTTTAGGAGGCTGAAGCAGGCAGAGCACAAGGTCATGAGTTCAAGACCAACCTGACCAACATGGTGAAACCCTGTCTCTAAGATACAAAAAATTAGCCAGGCATGGTGGTTTGTGCCTGTAATCCCAGGTACGCGGGAGGCTGAGGCAGAATAGCTTCAATCCAGGAGATGGAGAATGCAATGAGCCAAGATTGCGCCATTGCGTTCCAGCCTGGGTAACAGGGCAAGACTCCATCTCAAAAAAAAAAAAGAACTGGGTCTGTCTCCCTGTAGTCCATATTCTCTCCCTCTCCACATGGCCTTTCCATGTAATTTGTCTAGCAGAGTAGGAAGACTTCTTACATGTTGGCTCAGGGCTCCCAAAAGGGCAAAAGTGGAAGCTGCCAGACTTAGGTGCAGAACTAGCACCTTCGCCATACTCTTGGTTAAAGCAAGTAAAAGAGCCAGCCCAGGTTCAAGGAGAAGGGTACCTTCCAATATTGGAAGGCATGGTTCATTTCGGCAACCATAGTAAAATATGACCACAGAAAGTTTTCCATCTTTAGTTGGTAGTGGCTTTGATACTACACATAGTATTGTATTTAGTGCATGCTGCGGAAAAAGTGAAAGATAAGATGGACTTGGAGATGTGACTGGTGGGGTTGAAGTGACTGTATTTAAGATACTGAACTTTCTGTTATCTCCAGAGATCAATCCAGTTTACCTGTAGGTCAGGCCAGAGAGACCCAAGCACTGTGCTGGGAAACCTGGCCTTTAGTCCTGCCCCACTATTTACTAACCCTGTGATTATGGGCAGTTTACTTAAACACTTGAAGCCTCAGTGTGCTTCAAACAGGATAATAATCTCATAGGGTTGTGAGAATTAAAATCAAATAATGCATATAAAAGTAGCAGAATGTCTAGCATATTGTAAGTTCCTAATAATAATTAGGAATAATTATTGCTCCTTATAACTTCTTTGGTCAGTTTTTTTTAAGTATTCCATAAAGATAAAACATTTTAATAATTGAAAATTTGTAAACAATTTAAATAATACATAAAGGTATCAGAAAGATAAAAATTATCCAAAATCTCACCATTCACAGCCAAGCACCATCAAATTTGGGTAACCTTACTTCTAAACCTCTATAGTTCATAAGGATATTACCAAAGAATTGTTACATAAATAATAATATATATTAGTATCTATATGTAACTACATATATATATATGTATACACATGCACATATACTCAAATATAACTATTGGAGATTCTTCTACGTCCATCAATATAGTTCTATATTATTCTTTGTGATAGGTGCATAGGATTCCATTGAATGTATATACTAGTTTTGTTGTTGTTGTGTGTGTTTGTTTGTTTTGAGACAGAGTCTCCCTCTGTAGCCCAGGCTGGAGTGCAGGGTGCAATCTCAGTTCACTGCAACCTCTGCCTCCTGGGTTCAAGTGATTCTCTGCTTCAGCCTCTCAAGTAGCTGGGATTACAGGTGCCGGACACCACACAGGACTAATTTTTTGTGTGTTTTTAGTAGAGACGGCGTTTCACCGTCTTGGCCAGGCTAGTCTCAAACTCCTGACCTTGTGATCCACCTGCCTCAGCCCCCCAGCGTGCTGGGATTACAGGCGTGAGCCACCTCCCCTGGCCGGATATACCACTATTTAAAAACTAATTCCCATCCGGGTGCAGAGGCCCATGCCTATAATCCCAGCACTCTGGAAGGCTGAGGTGGTAGATCACTTAAGGTCAGGAGTTTGAGACCAGCCTGACCAACATGGTGAAACCCTGTCTCCACTAAAAATACAAAATTTAGCCAGGCAAAGTGGCGCATGCCTGTAGTCCTAGCTGCTCTGGAGACTAAGTTGGGAGGATAGTTTGAGCCCAGGAGTTCTGGGCTGTAGTGCACTATGACAATTGGGTGTCCACACTAAGTTTAGCATCAATGTCGTGACCTCCCGGGAGCGGGGTCCACAGGTTGCCTAAGGAGGGGTTAACCAGCCCAGGTTGGAAACGGAGCAGGTCAAAACTCCTGTGCTGATCAGTAGTGGGATTGCGCCTGTGAGTAGCCACTGCACTCCAGCCTGGGCAATATAGCAAGACCCTGTCTCTAAAAAAAAATAAAAATAAATTTAAAAATACAAAAATTAGCCAGCGTAGTTGCAGGTGCCTGTAATCCCAGCTATTCGAGAAGCTGAGGCAGGAGAATCACTTGAACTCGAGAGGCAGAGGTTGCATAGAGCCGAGATCGCTCCACTGCACTCCAGCCTGGGGGAAAGAGCGAGACTCCATCTCAAAAACAAACAACAACAAAACGAATTCCCCTGTGGATGGACATAGGTTCTTTCCAATGTATCTGGTATGACCTATTCTCAAATCTTGTGGTACAATGATAAATACATATCCTTAAAAACTTTTTTATGTAAAATGAAAATCATCTGGAGACTCCACAAAATAGATTAACAAGATATTCAACATCTGCCTTTTTTCTAATTTCTAACCCTCAAATCTCCAAGGATTTAACTGGTCAGAGAAGTCTCTCAAACTTCCATACCCCAGCAAGGACAGTGAAGATGTCCAATTAGCCAATTACATCCATTGCTACCTCTTTGTAGCAGGAAGCTGATTCTGCACATCCAATAAATAGTGCTGCTAATTATAAAATGTTGCAAAGCAAGTTATCAGAGCTGCTTTCAACAGCAGCTGCCTGCTGGACTGGAATCAACCCTTGAGGGCATCAGACTAGACTCCCTCATTACTGAAATTAATTATTTCAAGGACCTTGTTGCCCTTCCCTGCCACTGTCCTTTGGCCACAGCCACAGGTCCCTCTAACTTTGTGTTTCAGAAAGTAA